CATGACCTCATGGTTTGTGGCTTTATGCCCTATGTTGGGCTCTGTGCTGACAGCTTGGAGCCTGGAGCCTGCTTTGGATTCTCTCTCTCTCTCTCTCTCTCTCTCAAAAATAAACATTAAAAATAATAAAATAAAATAAAACAAAACAATAAAAAGCCCTTTTAGTTTCTTCACCAACTTTTACATTTACATATTCTTTCAATCTCCTCTCAGCAGTTGTTTCCTCTAGGAAACCTTCTGTGACCCACACTACACTAAGGCTGGTGTTCTATCTTCATGCTCCTAAGGGCTTCTGGTACTCACCATTATCGTAAGAGGCTTATTAGCAAACTGAACCGAAATACTCGTAAGTCTACCCCCTAGATGTAAGCTTCTCAAAGACAAGAACTAAACTTGTTCCCCTGTATCCCCAGCATGTAGCTGGCTCAAGTCAAATGCCTTCCCTTGGCATAAAATATGACACCTTCCAGAGTCTAGCCCTCCTCTCCCATCTCATCACCACTGAACTCTACTTGGAACCATGCATTCCCATCATAGAGAAATGTTTCCATGTTTCCCTGTTGTTTCAGGTATTTGGTTACGTTGTTCATACTTCCTAGAATGCTTCTTAAACCCTCTATCTAGGAAATGTGATTCTCCTTTCAAGACAGAGCTCAGGCATCACCTTTCCTATATAGCCATTTGCATCCCTTCCCTGAAATAAAACATGTCACTCCCTCTTCTGAACCTACACTGTACTTTGTACAGTTTTTTTTTTTCATATTTTGATACTTCTCTGTAATTCATTTGTCTTTCCTTTCTAAATATAAATAATAGAGCGTAGGGACTTGTCTTGACTTCCACTCAATGTCTATCATGGTGCCTAATGGTATGTTCAGTAAATGTTTACTGAATGAATAGTTAGTAGGTGGCACAGGTAGGTTAGGACCCAAGACTTTTAACTCCTAGCTTGAGCTTGGCCCAAACGACATGTTTCTCAGTATCATTCTTTCTTTCTTATTTTTTTTTTTAATAAGAAAAGTGCAGCTTGGTTATTAATATACTGTCATGGTTTCACTTGCCTTGAATCTCGTGGTCACTTTTTCTACTAGGATGAAGTGAACTTTTTCAGCATCTTTTAAGGCAATATCAACCCAATGAGACAATTTTCCTTTTCCTGCTCCAAACTCAACAAAACATCTTCTTGGACCAAGTAACTTTAATTTTTCAATGTTACCTAAAATAGAAGCCTGCAAACTTCACAAGATTATTTTATAAACTAGAGCAAACACATTTGGCTCAAGGGGGAAAACATCAAGGTAATTTCTACATATGGCAGCATGTGCACATTGGTAATTTTTGTTTGGCTTTAAAATTTTTCTCTTGCTTTAAGATTTTTAAAACACAGTACTCAGAACCATATCCATGCCAAAAGTTTTTAATATATGTTTCCACATATTTTTGAAATGGAAAGATTCTGTACTCTGAAAGATAAACTAAACAAAATCTCATTAATAACTATATTTAGAAAGAATGTTAGCTTTTGACAAATGAACAAAAGGCCAATTTTAGCACAGTTACTATGGCCTAAACATACCTGCTGTTTCAGGTGTTTGGTTGCAGAATCACCATTTTTAGGGTCATTAAGGGCATCATGCAATGCTGGATGGGACATAATTTGATCTTTAAGTGTAGAGTTCAAACCTGTGCCAAATATAAGCACAATAGCTTAAGCAACCAAACATGAAACCGTAGGGCTCTGAACAATGGTAGTAACATTTTTTAAACCACATTGGTATCAACTCATAAAGCACCTAATTATTCCAAAAATTTTAACTTGCAACTGGAGGCAGACTTACCTTCGCTTGCTCTCCGCAATTTCTTAATTAAGTTTTCCAACTGCTCTTCAGAGAGAGAAGAAATTGGAACCTATATACAAGAATGGGGTATGAGCTGGTTTGGGAACTAACCGTCACTAATAATATGGATTCTATAGAAAAAATACATTCTAAATTCAAAACAATTAATTTATTCCAAACAAAAAGTGGAACATAGCTTATTCCCAGTGTGGAGACAGCTTACAAACACCTTTTAAAATTAAATATTAAATCAAGTACTTACTAATTGTTCAGGTATTTCTGTTTCATCTTTTAAGCCTGCATTAATATCTTGAATAAAGAAGTCCTTAATAAAAACAAAACCACAACAATACTGTTATTAATGTGAAGAGCTCACAAAAATTAAGCTGAAAAACTGATACTTCTCTTTTTCCCATACCCTGTACCTGCCATCCTCCCTTTCTCCCATTTAGGAATAAAATAATCACTGAGCACCTACTGCGGTCCTTAATTTGCTTTCGGTGTCAAGGATTCACCATAGCAGAGAACACAACAAAAATCTCTATGTCCTCATGGATCTTATATTCTAGTGAGTCGTTATCTGAATAAATGTGTATAGTCTAAAGAAACTGATTAGTAATTTTTGTTAACGTTTTCACCTGTCTATAGCATATAGACTGAAAGTTGTCAATTTTGCGTATGGTGTAAGAGTAAAAAACAACCAAGTACCAACTATATACGGCTATTTAGCAGAGAAGCAGTAGGTCCAAAAGCAGATAAGATATAGATATTACAAAGCTTTAGGTCTGGTTTCTTCTATTTTATGTATTTTTGTGTGATATAATAAATATCTTTAATTTTTTTATTAAACGGTGGGAACAGCTCACCCTTTAATGTCAGTGTCACCTATAGTTCTGTCCTTAGTCTCATGCTCTATCACCTGCTACCTCTTGAGTCTCCTCTTCTACTCAGCTCTCCCCTTATATTCTATACTCCAGTCACGTGCAATGCCCAATCCCAGACAAGGCTATCAGCTCTCTCACTTCTAGGCCCTTACATATGTTTTTTTCCCTGTCTGGCAGGTTCTCCTTTGACCTGTAGGTCTCATATGTGATACTCCTTCAGAGAAGCCTCCTGACTCCTTCCCCATCTCTTTCACCCCCTATTTCTCCCAAAAAAAGGATTAGGTTCATCTCCTTTATTCTTTCATAGCACTCTGTACTTAATCAATTTTAACATAGACAATATTGTATTTTTTGTCTCTCCCACTAGACTGTAATGTTCTTATAGCCAGGGTGCTTGGTACAATGTCTGGCATAAATGTTCAATTAATATCTGTGGAATAAACAAGTTCCTCCCTCACCCTTCTAATCTCTTACCCTGGGTAACTTAAAAATCCAAGGCCTATAACCTGTATGTATTTGACCTCCAAATTAACGATTCTACTGACTTTCAGACTCACATATCCAACTCTCAGTTTTTAGCCACTGAGTTTTGATTCTGCTACCTAAATAATTCTTGCATTTATTTTCTACCCTTTTCTATTCTCTTTCATTTAGTCTCTTATCATGTCCCACCTGGATTTCAGCAACAGCCTTTAACTAGTCATTCTAATTCCAAGCCATCCTTCCACACTGCTCTGAAAGTTTTGTAAGAGGTAAATATGGCCATTCCATTCCCTGGCTTAAAATCTTTCAGTAGTTCCCCACATCTTTCAGAATAAAGTCCAAGTTCCTTGAAAGTTTCAATGTAGTTTCTCAATTTCTGCCTTTGCACATACAGTTCTTTCCACCTAGAAGGACTCCTCTTCCTTTTCTTTGCCAAATCAAGACTCAGCTCAAGTGTTTTTCTCTCTGGGAAGTTTTTCTTGACCCCTTGGCTATAATTTTAAGTTTTATACAAGTCTGTGCTCTTATCACATATTTACTTCTTTGATTGAACTTATTAAATAATATCCCTTATTTACAAGTTTACTTTCAAACTCCTTAAAGGCTGGGACCATATTTTATTGAAATAAATTTAGTAAGCACTAAATATTTTGAATAAATTGTGAAATTATTTTCTAAATGACACTCCTGTTGCATAAAATTCTATTATCTGAATTAGGACTACAAGTGGATTCATAGTCTATATATATACTCAAATGCATTTACTACATTCAAGTCTCCTGAGGCCAGAGCCTTGTTAAATATTCACATTTGTAATCAACTAAGTACACATAAACATTATATACCACACATTTCACCACTCAGTTTTACCGACCAAACACTTACAGGTTTTGGCTTCTCTCTTGAGTTACACTTTTTCAAATGTTTTGCTAGTTGATCTTCATATACTGTGCTAAATTTAAAGAGAAAATTATTTAAAATAAGACTTGTGACAGTTAATCTTTCTAGCATAGAAAAACCCTTATCTGACCCATACTTACTGTTTTGGATCTAAAGGACACAGAATTCTCTTCCGAGCATTTTCTTCCTAATAAAGAAAAATGATGTATTTATTTGTATAAAAAAAATATCACGTTCGTTGCTTACAGATACTAAATATAATTTCAGTGTAATCATAAGCTTATGCATTCCCAAAACAAGGTAAGGAAACCTTAAAAGGACATTAATAAAACACTGGCAAAATCAGGTCACAGAGTTTGACAACAAAAATCTCCAACATAGCTGGTTTATGTATACATGAGCAAATACTGCTTTGGACAACAAGGGTTTATAACTTCAAATAGGTTATAGAGAAGATCTACTTATGGAATTTTGAATCTATAATAGCACTGACTATAATTTGCACTATTACTTTAGGCACCCCGAAGAAAAATCTGCTGCTGATTTAAAATATGACATGTGATGGATTTTAAGGTGCATTCTGATTTCAGAAATGTTAAAATGTGAGAAAAAGAAGTTATCTTAGAAACAATAAAATATGGTATTTTAACCATTTGGTATGTGGCCATAATCCTACTGACTTTGCAAGTTTTCAGTATAGCAGAGCTATAGCCCATTTGTTTCTAAGTTACGTGAATTTAACTACATGTGCTAGAAAAAAACCAAAGGAGAATTAATAGTGCTAGCAATTCTATTCAATATTCTTATGAATCTGTATGCAACAGGATAGTGTAATAGTTAAAACCATAGGTCAGTATAGGATTGCCAATATTGATCTATCAACTTCTAACTCAATGACCCGAGGTAGGCTCATTGCCTCATCTAAAAGATGAGAGTATGTCTCACCTCCTAAGGCTTGTAAGAATTAAGTGAGCTAATATTAAAAGTACATTTAAAAAACTTCTTGGCATGTCGTTGGCCATATAGTAAATGCTAACTGTTCACTGTTATTAACAATTCTTTTTTCAGTTTATTTCAGTTCTGAATGCCTCCCAGTATACCCATGAAATGACTGAATTTCATGGGAAAGCTAAGAGACTTTTCAATATTTTTTGAAAAACTGTGCATTATTCTTCCTTATTTGCTGACTCTAAAATACAACCTCCATGAAAAGGGAAGACTCTACGTTGACTCCCCAAAGCCTAACCATAGAGTTGGGGGAAAAAAGCACTTTTATTATTTGGGTTTAGAAACTGGGTTTCTCAACCTTGGCGCTACTGACATTTTGGGCTGGGTAGTTCCGTTTTGTGAGGGGCTGTCCTCTGCATCATAGGATATTTCGCAGCATCTTTGGCTTTATCTATTAGGTGCCAGGAACACTCTCCTCAGTTGTGACAACCAAAATGTTGCAAACATTGCCAAGAGTCTGCTGGGGGGCAAAATCACCTTCAGTTAAGAAGCAGTGGGTTAAGAAAACAACAACAAACAGTGGGTAAAAATGTGTACAAGTGGTCTCAACTACATATGATACTTAAGACAAAAAGATGGAAACATACACCCCATTATATCATAAATCACAGATTCAGTAGGATGCCACATTGAAAACCAAATCGTGTCATGCAAAGTGTTTTCACTTATCTTGCAATTTTTCTTCAAGGGACCAATAACAACATTCCTTCCTCTCCAGGAATACCAATCAGCTTGTAAGGATCTAGTCATATTCTACTAATGTCACCAACTGCATTCATCTTCCAGATGTCTCATTAAGGTGAAGTAGAAGGTTTCAGAGTGAGAACAAAACTTTCTTCTATCAGAAATCCCATTTTTTGATCAAGGGATGTTTATCTCATCTTTAAATATGTAAGTGGACTGGGCAGTTTAAATACGTGTTCGAGGGTCAACTGTATATCGTTTGACAGTACAATTCTATGTATAACTGTATTATCAAACAAAATTGTACCCTTCCTGTTACCGATTTGAAAAAGAGCCAATTCTTACATGATTTTAAATCTTTCCTTACCCCTTTCAGCAGTTATAAGTTACTTTCAAAAGATTGTACTCTAAATAAATATTTCTTACGTTTTTATTTTAATCACTCGGTGCTCATTAGAAGTGCACTCCTTAATCCCCATCACCTATTTCACCCATCTCCTCTTTGGTAACCATCAGTTTGTTTTCAACAATTAAAGACTCGTATGTATAAATAAATTTTTTTCAAAAGTTTCTCAACCGCATTCACAAAGAAGTGATTATCACTCACAAAACAATCAGAACACGATTAGTGAAACCTTGGGATCTTTGACCACTATTCTTTCTAAACTACCTTTACCCCTCAGGAAAGGGGAGAGTGGGCGGAGTGTAAGAGACGGTGGTCTGGAGTAAAATTAAGATCTAGTATTGCCAAGAGTTAGGATCAAAATGAACGGGTTACTACTGGCGCTGCTCTACTTAGCACAAGAAACCACTGCACTTCACTAAGACTCATCATCGCTCCCTAGGGAGAGCAGGACTGCGCTTAGTACAGGAAAATCTAGAATATCCAGGGTGACAGCAGAAATCTGTCAGAGGCGAGGGGCCGGACCAAGAAACTTATTTCCAACTCTCGAGAGGGTAGGGTAATACCAGACCTCCGCGGCTCCAGCGTGTTCCCCACAGAACCTTTTCCCCGCTGCCACCACCATCCTGCAGAACCGCTTCTTCTTTTCTACGTAGTAACTGCATCGACCGTCAGCTGGAAAGTCAGTCGTGTGGGGGGTCGACGCAGAAGCCGCCATAATTCAGGGTTCGTTTGGGATGGCAAACATTAGGCGAAGGGAAGAAAAGTTCTCCGCTTCCCTTGGGTCCTCTTCCCTTAACAAATATGGCCACCGCGAGTCCCGCCACGCAGGCTAATACCCGGAACTGCCGGCCGTCTCCTGCAAAACCGGAAAAAACTGATGGTGGCTGACGAGGTCCAAATCTCCTGCACCTTCCCTCGGTTTCTGTTATCCCCGCCTCCTCAGCGGAAGCCGAGCGCCAAACTCAAATTTTAGCAGGACCCGGACGCCTTTCGGCTAGTTCCGCGGGCTGGGCCTGCTGGACTTTTCCGCTCACTGGCACGGGCAGCGGTCCAACATGAGCCAGGTTCTGTTCCAGGAACTAGTCCCGCTGCAGGTGAAATGCAAAGACTGCGAGGAGAGGTGAGGTTCCGCGTTACCCCGTGCCCGCGGGTGGCGGTTGGGGTCGGGCCAAAGGAAGATGGCGGCTCTGGCCAGGGAGCACCCAGTTGCAATTGGGTGAGCGGCGGGCGTCTCAGGACGCGGAGAGAACCGCAGCTGGAACCCAGTGTTAACTTCTCTCACCAAGTTGGCCGTTGCTGACGGCGCAGAAGGGAGGTATAGAGGAAATAGGAACCTGATCCGCATCGAGTTAATTAAAAAAAAAAAAAAAAAAAAAAACTTAGTTCTGAACCGAATCGTGGCAAATTATAGCCCTACTCTCTCTTTTTGAGCCAGAAAGTTAATTTTGTCCGGAGAAGCGAAGTAATTTACACATAATTTACCCAAGGGCTCATAACAAGTTCACGGCACGGCCGGCTCTAGAACTCAGGGCTTCGCTCCCAGCCCTTTTTTTCGCTCTCCTTTGAATCATATGGGAAGTAAATTTAAGCTGCAGCTTAAAAAGGTTTTTATGGTGTATTGTCTTTTCTTCACATTAGTTACTAAAAATAAGTTACATTTAGTCGCCTGAAAACAGGAGGGGAAAATTATAAATTTCATTTATTCATTCAACGAATACTGCTTATTGGCAAAACACCTTGCTGCGTAGTGGGGCCGTAGTGGCCAGGAAGAACATTCCTTGTTTTCCTGGAGCTTGAAGTCCAGTCGGGGAGGAAATAAAAGCCAGTCTCGCAGATCAGTGCAAAATTAAAACTTTGACAAAGGAAGTGGTGCTGTTAGGACTTACCAGATTTGATTAGAAGTCAAGACATTTCAGTTTTGTCTCTGTTCCACAACCCATTAGTTGACTCTTCTCTGAACCTTGTTTCCTCATTTGTGAAACTGACATAAGGTGCCTATGCTGAGGAAATGAAAGTGTATGTGAAAACTAGAGTGTGGAAAAGGGAGGTTTTAAAAACGAAGACATTGTGGGGCATCTGGGTGGCCTCTGTCTCTCAGAAATATTAAAAAAACAAAACAAAACACACTGTCAACCTTTTCTCTTGTTTAGAAACCTTTGATATATTCTTATCACCTGTAGCAGGGGTTAGCGGACTAGAGCCCATGGGCCAGGTGGCCTTCTTACCTGTTTTTGTAAATAAAGTTTTATTGGAACACAGCCATTCTCATTTAAGAATTGTCTGCGGGCGCCTAGGTGGTATAGTTGGTTGAATGTCTGACTTGGGCTCAGGTCATGATCTCACAGTTCATGGATTAGAGCCACGTGTCGGGCTCTGTGCTGACAACTCAGAGCCTGGAGCCTGCTTCGGATTCTTCACGTCTCCCTGTCTATCTGCCTCTTCTCCCCTCATGCTTGCTCTCTCTCTCTCTTTTGAATAAACATTAAAAAATGAAAAAAAAAAAGAATTGTATGGCTGCTTTTTTTTCTTTTTAAAAAAAATTTTTTTTAACGTTTATTTAAAAAAAATTTTTTTTTGACGTTTATTTATTTTTGAGACAGAGAGAGACAGAGCATGAACAGGGGAGGGTCAGAGAGAGGGAGACACAGAATCTGAAACAGGCTCCAGGCTCTGAGTGGTCGGCACAGAGCCCGACGCGGGGCTTGAACTCACGGTGAGATCGTGACCTGAGCCAAAGTCGAACGCTTAGCCGACCGAGCCACCCAGGCGCCCCCTACTTTATTTATTTTTGAGACAGAGAAAGACAGAGCGTGAGCAGGGGAGGGGCCGAGAGATGGGGAGACACAGAATCCAAAGCAGGCTCCAGGCTCTGAGCTGTCAGCACAGAGCCCGACGTGGGGCTCGAACTCACGGACTGCGAGATCATGACCTGAGCCGAAGTTGGCTGCTTAACCGACTGAGCCACCCAGGCGCCCCTGTATGGCTGCTTTTGTGCCATCAGGGCAGATATAAATAATTGTGACAGAGACCTTATGACCCACAAAGCCTAAAGTATTTACTGTCTGGCCCTTTACAGAAAATGTGCTGATCCCTGACCTATAGGGAAAACAACCCAGATTTTAGTTAAATATTCAGGGTCAGTTCAGCTCAACAAATATTTATGAATACTATGTACTAGGAATTGTCCTACATGCTGAGACTGTCAAGCTTTCTTCCTCTTCACTCTCCTGTCTCCCAACACTAGCAACAAAAACAGTTTTCATGTCAGGCCTCAGGGAACTTACACTTTAATAGGGGAAACAAAAAGATCTTTGGAGAAGCAGCATAGCACAGGGTAAGAGTTCAGGCTCTGGAGCCACATTTTCTGGGTTTAAATTCCACTTCTGCCACTCGTTGACTGATTTTGTACAGTCGTTTTCTCTGTGTCTCATCTTTTTTTGTTTTTTATTTATTTTTGAGAGAAAGTGAGAGCAGGGGAGGGGCAGACAGAGAAGGGGACAGAGGATCCAAAGCACGCTTCCCACTGTCAGCACAAAGCCCAGTGTGGGGCTCAAACCCATGAACTGTGAGATCATGACCTGAGCTGAAGTTGGACACTCAACCGACTGAACCACCCAGGTGCCCCCTCTGTTTCACCTTTAAGTTGATGATGAGAAAATTGTTGATGATGAAAGTACCTGCCTCATGTGATTATTATGAGCATGAAATGAGCTAATACAAAGGGCTTAGAACAGTGCTTGGAACATAATAAACATTCAGCAAATGTTAGTTATTATTTTTAAATGTTTGTTTAGTTATTTTGAGAGAGAGCGCAAGCGAGTGGGGGAGGAGCAGAGAGAGAATCTGCTTGGGATTCAACACAGCCCGACACAGGGCTCCATTCCACAAGCCATGAGATCATGACCTGAGCTGAAATCAAGACTTGGACACTTAACCGACTGAGCCAGCCACGCACCCCAAACAGTAGTTCTTGTTTTTCTTAGGAATATCATTTTTATTTATTTATCTGTAATTTATTTTTTTGAATTTACATCTAAGTTAACATATAGTATAATCATTTCAGGAGTAGAATTTAGTGATCTATCACTTATATATAACACCCAATGTTATCCCAACAAGTGTTCTCCTTAATGTCCCTTGCCTAGTTAGCCCATCCCCCCCACCCCAAACACCTCCAGCAACCCTCAGTTTGTTTTCTGTATGTAAGAGTCTCTTATGGTTTGTCCTTCTCCCTGTTTTTATATTATTTTTGCTTCCCTTATGTTCATCTGTTTTGTATCTTAAATTCCACATATGAGTGAAGTCATATGATACTTTTTCTCTGACTGATTTTGCTTAGCATAATACACTCTAGTTTCCATCCACATTGCTTCAAATGGCAAGATTTCATTCTTTTTGATCGAGTAATATTCCATTGTGTGTGTTTGTGTGTGTGTGTGTGTATGTGTGTATGTATACACCACATCTTCTTTATCCATTCATCAGTTGATGGACATTTGGGCTCTTTCCATACTTTGGCTATGGTTGATAGTGCTGCTATAAACATGGGGGTGCATGTGTCCCTTTGAAACAGCACACCTGTATCCCTTGGATAAATGCCTAGTAGTGCAGTTGCTGGGTCATAGGGTAGTTCTATTTTTAATTTTTTGAGGAACCTCCATACTGTTTTCCAGAGTGGCTGCACCAGTTTGCATTCCCACCAGCAGTGCAAAAGGGTTCCTCTTTTTCCGTATCCTAGCCAACATCCGTTATCGCATGAGTTGTTAATGTTAGCTACTCTGACAGGTGTGAGGTGGTATCACATTGTGGTTTTGATTTGTATTTCTCTGATAATGAATGATGTTGAGCATCTTTTCGTGTGTCTGTTAGCCATCTGGATGTCTTCTTGGGAAAAATGTCTATTCATGTCTTCTGCCCATTCTTCACTGGATTGTTTGTTTTTTGGGTGCTGAGTTTGGTAAGTTCTTTATAGATTTTGTATACTAACTCTATCTGATATGTCATTGCAAATATCTTCTCCCATTCTGTCATTGGTTGCCTTTTAGTTTTGCTGATTGTTTCCTTCCCTCTGCAGAAGATTTTTATCTTGATGAGGCCCTGGTAGTTCATTGTTGCTTTTTGTTTCCCTTGCTTCCAGAGACATGTCAAGTAAGAAGTTGCTGTGGCCAAGGTCAAAGAGGTTGTTGCTTGTTTTCTTTAGGATTTTGATGGCTTTCTGTCTTATGTATAGGTCTTTCATTCATTTTGAGTTTATTTTTGTATATGGTGTAAGAAAGTGGTCCGGGTTCATTTTCATGCATTTTTCATGCATTTTCATTTTTCATTTTCATTTTCATTTTTCAAGCATGTTGTTGTCCAGTTTTCCCAACACCATTGGCTGAAGAGACCGTCTTTTTTCCATTGGATATTCTTTCCTGCTTTGTCAAAGATTAGTTGGCCATACATTTGTGGGTCCGTTTCTGGATTCTCTATTCTGTTCCATTGATCTGTGTGTCAGGTTTTGTGCCAGTACCATACTGTCTTGATGATTACAGCTTTGTAATACAGCTTGAAGTCCCGAATTGTGATGCCTCCAGCTTTGGTTTTCTTTTTCAGGATTGCTTTGGCTATTCCGGCTCTTTCCTGGTTCCATACAAATTTTAGGATTGCTTGCTCTAGCCCTGTGAAGAATGCTGGTGTTGGGGGGGCATGGGTAGCTCAGTTGGTTAAACGTCTGACTTCTGCTCAGGTCACGATCTCATGGTTCACTAGGTTGGGACCCACGTCAGGCTCTGTGCTGACAGCTTGGAGCCTGGAAACTGCTTCAAATTCTGTGTCTCCCTCTCTCTCTGCCTGCCCCTTTCCCACTCATGCTCTGTGTCTGTCTCTCTCTCTCAAAAATAAATAAAAACATTAACAAAATTTAAAAAAAAGAATGCTGGTGCTATATTGATAGGGATTGCCCAAACATTAGTTATTATTAAAGTGTGATTAATACATGAAGTGACATCAATGTTCTGAAGTCATAGAGAAGGAGAAACTTCAGTGAAAGATAGTGATAATGCTCAGAGAACTCTGGAGGAAAATAATGCAAAATTTTGAAGCCCATGGTTTGACACCTGCTTTTTCATTTTTGTTGTA